TACTTAGTATAAAAATAAGGCGATTAGTGACAAAGTATACTATAATTAGAAATAAGTCGAATTCGCATACGCTGGTAAAGGTGCTTATGCTGAATATTACGGGCGATAATAACCCACAACGTACATTTCAACTCTTCAGTTCTTACACCTTCCTTAAGTTTGATCTCCGGACATCTTTAATACTAATTACTGCCATTTAAAACAGGCTTAATTGCAATCTGATTCGGTATGTTGTAACCAATATTTTGTTGCTTGGTGTAAAAGGACATTGAAGAGATTTCTGTTATTCAAATGGGACCAAGACGTATAGGCCTGTACACAAAGTTAACAATTTAAATTGATGTGTTTATCAATATAACGAATATAATGTTCAGAATTAAACATAGTTACTCTTGTTGAAAAATGGAACCTGAGGGGAATGCATGTGTTCAAATCGCGGCACATAACATAGTAACGTGAGACGGATATCTCTTATTCCCAAAACTAGAATTTTTTGTTAGCGAAGACTTGAATCTATAGCTCCTTGATTAATAAACATTGCATATTTAATTATAAACGATGTTATCGTCGGCAGTGCTTGCTTACACATATGTAAGCCTATGCATTTTTAATTATTTATTGCACAGGAGTATAAAAGTCTTCTGTAACCTTTGAAATATTCAGACTTTTCTGTCTTACATTGTATGGATACGAACTTATCTAAAATCGCTGGATGCAAACTATATGGGCCTGCACTTGATACATCATATCAAAGGATGAACATAGATTGAGAATTATGAGAACAGGATACTGAGGAAAGCACTTTGGCCCGAGGGCGACGTAACAGGACGTATGTGAGCGATATATGCGTAACGTGTGACCAGAAAACGTAAAGGAAAACACCACTTTGGAGACCTAGAAACAGAAGGGTGGTTATCATTAAAAAGTCTTACAGAAACCCAGTAGCTGCAATGATGTGGGCTGGATTCATCATGCTCAAGACAGCAAGATAGGGACCGGCGGCGGAGTTTTTCGAAAACGGCGATGAATGTCGAGTTCCATAAAATAAAGGAATTTCTTAAACGTCCGAGTGACTTCTACGAGTAATTTCTCAAGACGGACTCTGCTCTATGTACGTAGTTATATACATGCCCTACAATGTCTAAATGTGTGTCTGAAAGAATGGTCTTCCATTAAAGAAAATGCATCAACAAGGATATAAAACAAATCACGTAAATCTGTATTATCATGTATGTCGACTGACGAATAAAGTTTGGTGACTTTTTTACTAGACAGTTAAACACGGACAAAACATTCTGATAACAGCCAACCGGTTAAACATGGAAATTGGTCATCACTTTACTCTTTTAACCATCCAAACAAAGACAGTATATTTGGAATTTCTGTATATTCTATTCTATGAATCTTTATCCAACTCTTCTATGTCGATCTTTTGTGCTGCATTTATAGAAGGAGAACAACGTCCACACGGCGTCACAAACCAGAAGAACACCAACGACATCTTTTCCGCCGAAGGAGTCTCAAACCTCACACTCCGCTAACTTATTCCAAGAACAGAAAATACACTCTCAGTTGATAGAAATATTAAGCTGTGAGGATGGAATATTGTCAGGTTTAAAGCGTAACAGTAATTGGGCAATTTACGTATTAAAATAAGCCCATGGAGTCACAGATGTTGCATCATTTATGTAAGCCACCTGTTCATTACAAACAATTGTTAGGGTCTCGTAGATTGAAGGTTTGGTTAGTGCTGGACCAAGCCTGATTATGAAGATCGCTTCCCTCAGGTGACAAGTGAAATACGTAAAGCTAGTATTACGTTGCGGATTTTAAGTGAATCTGCTTGCAGAATAAAAAGAAAGGCTGTGAACTGCAAAATGACCATTAAGTGAGAAAGTATACTGGTCACGGTCTCTTACTTCAACTGAACCTCGTCTTTACCCCACCATCTGAATTCCGCAACACTGAATGGTGAAGATGATGACAGTGATGATGAAGATAGTCGGAACATCTGAAACGTCGGCCAATTTATACCAGACTACATAGCGTAACATTCCAGAGGATATGATAGATTGTCTACTTGAATGGTGTTTATACGAAGATAATAGCCAATCACAACAACACACGACCGGCGGATAAATTTGATCCCTTAACATCGCGAATCAATATCGACAAGCCTGTACGCCGGAGGGGGAAGAAAGTGCATCTTACTGCTGGAGGATTCCCAGGCAATACCCACTCGTCCTTCTGATAATAGAATGGAAGTGAATATGTTAGTGTAATATACAGTAAACGTTTGGGATAGAGACAGGGGGATTTTAATTTTATTTAGAATGTTGAAATGATAATTTGGAAAGTTGAGTAATTTAATGGCCCCCACAGCATACAGTATCAATTTGGAACGTTGGAACCATCTCAGTATTCGCTTAAAAAAATTAAATCAAGTCAGCCTGTGTCGAGATGGTCGGTCGTAGGAAATTTCGGATGAATACTGGCTACTTGCTGTGATTATATAACGAAACATAAAGTAAACCTGCTCAGTGCCGAGGAAGAGATAAAGCCCCTAACTTTGTACCGACGTCTACCGTCACTACGCATATAGCATAGATGAGCCTCGGGAAACTTACGGCACTAGTAAACTGACGGCGAGCGTACCGACGAATACTGTCAGTTTGCCGTGAGCTGAAAAGCGGATAATGGCAAACACACCTCACCAGGCCTAACCCAAAACAAAACAAAGCTAAACTAACGTAACATAATCTAATCTAATCTAATCTAGCTCGCTTATCAAGTCGCCCGAATCTCAGAAGTCGCTCAGGTCGCCGCCACGGGCACAAGCCGACATATCGCTTCGGTCT